AAAAAAAAAAAAAAAAAAAAGGTATAAATACACACCAGATGGTTGCAAAGTGATGCTGAATGCAACATGGCGGATCTCCTTAGATGGGTCACATCAGAAGTCGCTTGTAATTTGCCATCCATTCGTGCCAGATCAGCCGTAACCTCGCTACACCGTTGCTCAAGCAAGGCCAATGTGGCAGGGGTCGATTCTTTGTACTTCTTCTGGAGCTCGGATTCAAGATAGTCTCTGAGAGAACCGAAACCTATGTGGGATTTGTACTTCTCCTCATCATACCCTCCTTTGACACCTTCACGAAGATGGGACATGACTCCCGTATCCACCTGAGCTATTTGCCTACGGAACTCATCATTAGAAACTATGCTTCTGTCCTTTGGCAGGGCAACAAAGAATGGTCGAGTGTTTTCTCCAAGGTATCCACTTGCACTCAAATACCGATCCACTTCCCACCGATCACTAAATTCCTGCGGAAAGAAGCAAAAAGAAAAAAAAAAAAGGAATAGTAAGCATGAATGAAGAAGCAAAGGCTACAGAAAGAAAAAACAAAAAAAAACCACAAGTTTTGCTGGGTGAATTTAGAGGCATAGCAACTTGAGTATTTATGATGTGTTTTTGCATATAGGTCCCTCAATTGAGAATAGCATACCTTAAGACGGTTGTCAAATTTGGAGACAACAATGATTGTGCGTCTGAAGGCAGGATCAATTTCACGAATGGTGTCCAACCACAATGAGGAACACCATTCAACACTACTCTGCTGAAGAAATAGAAGAATGCGATGAGGTGGACTAGCTATGGTCTTCACCATCGACAAAATCTCATCTGGAGTACTCTCGGGTTCGCCTTTCTTTGCCTGTAATCATTTCATGTTCAGTTTTTCTATTTGGGTAATAGTACAGAATTTAAAAGGACGAAGGAAACTCCATTTCGGTGCCCAACTTTCATAACGTACCTTGAGAACAAAGCCGGGAGTATCGATAATAGTGAGATTAGGACAGTGAGCATATTCCACCCTTATCACGATAGGCTTAGGAGAGACTGCAGCTTTCGTCCTCTTCAAAAGTGCTTCAGTACGAGCTTTTATGGTATCAGCAATGGCAGTGGATGATATCATAGCAGTCCCATATTCTTCAGAATACTCTTCCTGTCAAATTGCTTAAAATTAGCACACCCCATCTTCAGCTAAAGAGCAACTATACTTGTAATATCAACAGAAGTTGATTTTGATTTAGAACACATTCAACTTTTATAACAAAAATGTAGCCAAAAAAAAAAAATAATCATCAAGACAAAGAAATTTCATGCCAAGGCCTCATTTTTCTCAATTACTCAATCTTTTGTCCACAAGTTCCACAAATGAGCACAAAATCAGAACTCGTTATGTTCGAAAGATCCCTATATAGTTTCATAAATCCTAGCACTCAGAGTTCAACCTATACATCCAGACAAAACATTTAACAGATCCATCGCCATTTCCAATCAAAATTACGAATTCCGCATAAAAATCCATCATAATTAAACGGCACCCACTGTAACTCTGTAAGCTCTTTAAAAGTACAAACCACGACAATGGCCAAAAAAAAGGGAGGAAATGCAAAAGACCTGAAATCGGCATCGAGGCTCGAGAGCATTTGAATCATGAATCATCTGCAGCACGAGCGGCCGTCGAGTCCCCATTTCAACTTCCCGCACATTGAATCGGAACCCTAGGAGGGCTTCAAGCAACGAGCTCTTACCGTCGGACTGGCCGCCGAGAGCCACAATCTCCGGAATCGGGAGCTTCTCTCCGAACGCCACTGCGGCGGCCTGGAGGCGATTGTAGGCCTCGTATCTTCTTTTCAGTTCATTAGCGGATTTGCCCGGCGTGTCCATTGATTGGTGGTGGCGGGGCCTTTTTCTGGAAGCGGAATTATCGGAAGAAGGGCTTTTGGAAGGAGTGTTGAGGAAATTAGAGGTATTACCGATTATTCCGCCGGTGGCGCTGCCGGTGGTGGCCATTGGTGGACTCCGATTGGGGAATGAGTTTTTTCAGAATGAATGAAAGTATTTCAAATTTTGAATTTGTGTTGTTGTTTTGAAATGGTAAGTAGCCGTTTGGATGGTCAGATGGGCCTCTTTATGGGTCGATGTATGATTTTGTTAAGCACAGCCCAATTAGATGAAAAGCCCAATAGTCCATTAAGCAGAAAGTGTTGGCAACATGGCTAGATAAATCCTACATGAGCAGCGTAGAATGCGACTTAATAATTCGATATAAATTTATAAAAAAAAGCAATCGATATGCTTTTCGACCTATACTTTAAATTATTCATAAACAATAATAATATAATGTTTCACATTATAAGTACGTATTTTTTTTTAAACCAAACAAGAACATAAGTATATATAGACATAGTAACATTGAGTTTAATAATTTATATTTATATAAAACTAAAAATTTATAAAGAAAATAAAAAAAATTCTAGTAGTTATTGTTATTTTGGTTGTAATTTCCGTTTAACCGATTTTATGGTATGAACCGACATTGCGGCAAAAAATAGTATTTAAGAGATAATCGTATCAGTCTGACCACGCGTATTCACATTATTAGTATTATCGAATCGTATTTAAAATACTGTTTTTTTTTTTTAACAAATACACACAATTTTATATATAAGTGACATAGTTTAAACACTACATAACCAAAAGTATAAATTCATAGCACGTCTATTTTGTTTAAACATATGATGAATCAAAATAACTTTTAGAGTGTCTAAAAAAAAAAAATAGAATGTCTCATTCAAAATTTGTATATAAAATACAATATGCTTAAATGTTGAAATTTCTTAACCAATTAAATTGATGATTGACTTTATAAGCCCAACTCTTGGTCAGGAGTACTCCAAATTTAAATTAACATTAAATTAGTTGTGGATTTGGATTAATCTGTCAAGGTTGACCAAAAAAAAAAGAAATAAAAAAGGAAATTGTCAACTAATGACGCCATTTTTTGCATACCAAAATGTTTGATTGTACGTATTTGAAATAAAGTTTGGTAGAAAGTTTGGCCAGCATACACATAATCAAATATCTACTATTACTCATTCAATTATCTATTAGCTTTATTATCCATAATCAATTATTGCCTTAAAAGACCAAATTATTTATATGTTATTATACTCTCTTAATACAAACATTATTATATTTCATTGTATCATATTTGTTGTATATAGAAGGTTGACTCCACTATGAAACTAACTGTTGGCTTCATAACAAAACCGTTCATCGTATATCATATAATTACTTTTGTGGTTTAATTCATGTAGAATTTCTTATATCAAATAAAATAATTCATTTATTTTACTACTACTTGTTTTATTTTTATTTTTTTAAAAAAGAAGGACGTGCTGCCAAATTGATGCAGAATAATGTTAGTATTATCATTATTATTTATTTATAATGACTTGGTAGACAAGATAGACTTTAGGGTTTGGGTATCTTATTTAAAGATCTTTCTTATTTGTTATTCAACAATGAATTTTGAGAATGAATTAAAATTGTTCGTGTTCTTTCGGGAGAGTATCCCAAGTTTGAGAGAGTATCTCTTTTATCTTCTCATTCGTATGTTTTCCCTACATCAGTTGGTATCAGCAGTCAGTACGATTCGCGATGTCGCCGGGACAACAACCAACATGATGCCACCTTCCACGATCAGTTTCAACAGATTGACTACCGATTTCAAGAGTTGGACGTGCGTTTCACGAATTTGTTTGTCGATCTTTCGACGGGGATCGAGGATGTGTGTTTGACGCCGAACAACGTGGTTGTTACGGAATGACAGACGAACCGTGATGGAGGCCGTGACTATCGCGGGGGATACAAAGGCGGTCGTGGGGTAAGCAATCATGTCGGGGCGCCCCGGCAGCGATCCCCGCCACCTCTGAACGGCAACGGCGTTGGCGATTCTACCAGGTCGGTTAACC